TACCTCTTCCCTGTGTCCATCCCTCCATGCACTCCTGCCCCCTGAGCTGTCTCCCTGTGCATAAGCAGCCCTTCTTTCTCCCATGATTCTTCTCTCCCAAGAGTGTATCTACCTAGTGTAAATGTTCAACTCCTATGCCTGTCTTTTGTTTGGCTGAAAGCCACAGGTGTGCAAATTCCAGACCTGAAGGGTAGCTAGGGGCCATAGTCTCAGTGGTTCCACCAGGCTCTCTCAGACCAGCAAACCTGGTCCCCCCCTTTTTTTTCCAAATGATTTTGAGTTTTGTTCCCATTGTTCTCCCCTCTATCCAGGATCTGCTATAAAGATACCCCCTGAGTGGTTGACAGTGGTAGCCGGGCACCATCTAGTTCTTCTGGTCTCATAGTCATATAGGCTATAGATTGCAAGGTGTACCAGTCGCTAGGACTAATTGTTTCCATCAGTCTTTGGTTTTCTTCAGTCTTATTTGCTCTGGACCAGGAGAGACCCATCGTTGCATCTAGATGGCTTCTTACAAGCTTTTAAGATCCCAGTCACTAGTCACCAAAGTAGAAGGTGGAACAGTGTTTTGTGTAGTATGTTATGCCAATTGAGCTTGATGTTCCCTGAGACTGTGGTCCCGAGCCCACAGATTCAATTACTCACTCCCTCTGGGTAGCTGGCTGTGACCAAGAAGTGACTACAACCTTATTCCTTGTCAGCTCTACTATACACTTGGAAATTCTTACAGGACATACAAATATACTTGTAGAACAATTGTCTGCCAACCTTATGTATGGTCTTGGGTATACTCCCTGCTGCACAGACATACCTAATAGTTCAGCCTGTCCACCCATCTATCCACCTGTATACCCATGTTTCCCTTCACTGACAACGCAGTACTGTATGTGCAAAAGGGTTCATCTTTGTTGTCTGCACCTCCCATTACCTCTCTGTCTTCCTCTTCCTCAGTGCCACGATGTTGATCTCTCACATTTGGTACATTACCCTTCTCTTTACCCAAATCAATACTTATCTCTATCTATCTAACAGCGTTCCGTCCCCTCCCCTCCCACCCCTGATTACCAACAAAGAAAATTTCCTTCCACAGATAAACCTTTCCTTAACTTTTACAATAATGGACTCATACAATATTTGTCCTTTTGTGATTGACTTATTTCACTCAGCATAATGTCCTCCAAGTTCATCCACATTATGTGGTGTCTTTCAGATTCTACATTATTCTTTAGGGTTGTATAGTATTCTACTGTGTGTATGTACCATAGTTTGGTTATCCATTCCTCAGTTGATGGACACCTAGATTGTTTCCATCTTTTTGCTATTGTAAATAAATAGTGCTGCAATGAACATGGGTGTGCATGTCTGCTCTTATCATGGCTCTCACTTCTTTAGGGTATATACCTAGTAATGGAATGACTGGGTCAAATGATATTTCTATTTCAAACTTCTGAAGGAATCGCCATACTGCTTTCCACAATGTGCCATTTTACAGTCCCACCAGCAGTGTATGAGAGTCCCAATCTCTCCACATCCTCACCAGCATTTGTTATTTTCTGTCTTGTTAAGCTTTGCTACTAGTGCTGGGGCAAGATGATATCTCATTGTTGTTTTGATTTGCATCTCTCTAATGGCTAATGATCGTGAGCATTTCTTTGTATGTTTGTTGTCCACCTGAATATCCTCCTCAGTGAAGTGTCTATTCATATCTTCTGCCCATTTTTAATTGGATTATTTGTCTTTTTGTTATTGAGGGGTTGGAGTTTTTATAAATTGTAGAGATTGTCCGTTGGATATTCAAGACCCTAGTTACTGATACAGCTCATCCATTGGCTATTCAGCCTTCCTGATGTTGCTGCTCTGCTACATTCCGTTGATGAGGTCTTAACGTTGGTTGGTTGACTTTCAGTGTCTCTCATTTCTTTTCTAGAGTCCCTACTTCCTAATCATGGGGGCCATTGCAGGTGGCCTTGCTTATGTTTAGAACCATAGGGATCCCTACATTCACTTCTGTAATTATGTTCTGGTTTAAAGCATGTATTAATTTCTCTGACTCCTCCTTTCATATTCCTCTGTCGTCTCCCTCCCTTTTTTGTCTTTTGACTGCAGATCATTCTGGAACAATAGAGGACAGAGAACCCATAGCTAATGCAATCAGAAGTGACTCTGCAGTGATTGGAGGTAATAGGAAGCATGAATGAGCTCTTCCATGGTACCTATTATCAGTACTAACAATGGTGAATATTTAACATATAGAAAGCATTTATGAAGAATCTGCATATTTTGCAAGTGCCACATACTAAACAGTGAGAACAGTGGAGTGCTTTTTTATTTGTAGAGAGTGTCTGATAGAATCCTACTGAATTCCCAGCTTATTTGGAGATTTTTTAGGATAAATAATAGACAGTTTCACTGAAGCACCACATTCAAAGAACAGTTGCTAAACTGTGTAATAATGAGCTTTATTTAGCCTGGGAATATCCACCTGGAATCCTTAGAGCATCCTGAATATGTTTGAGGAAAGACCATTTTTCCTGGCTTCTTGGACTTATCATTGCTTCTGCAAGTGTTTATGTAAAGAGGAGGGAAATCCTTAGATTTCTGTTAGAGGCGTATATTTTATATTGCCTAATGCTTAATAAAACGAATAGTTGCATGGTTTCAATGTTCCCATCCATGAAAATTACACTTAAAGTTTCATTTTTCTCAAACATTAGGCTAATGGACTTAAAGTAGCTCACAGTTATTTTAAATTGCAGAATTAAAACAAAAATTTTTAAAGTATATTTTCCAAGCAATAAAAACAGTATATTCCCTCAGACATAATTTATCTGATACCAACTTTAAAAATAGCTTTACTTCTTCCTTGTTAATGCTGCTAGCATTGTTTTTAATCAGGTTATTAATGTTTATTTGTTCACGTTTTTCCACAGTCTGCATGTGATATGGACATACTGAAATAAACAGCTATTCTAATACATTGCCACCAAAAATTATGTGACTACTCAGTTACTCAGGCAGTTCTACAGGCTTCATACCTGACCCATTTGGTTCTGTATTTACAGCCTTGCTCATGTAGACATCAGCTCCCTTCCAGGAGTTAGGAATCTAGAAAGTGTGATCACATCATTGTAAAGGTATTAACACCTCTATGGAGCTCTGGTGGCGTAGTGCCAAAGGCACCTGACAGCTAACCAGAAGGCTGGTGGTTCAAACCCACCAGCCACTCTTCAGAAGGAAGGTTGGGCAATCTCTGTAGTGATACTCCCTCAGAAACCCAAGGAGAGGTCATGATGAGTAGGCTCCAACTCGACGGCAGTGAGTTTGGTGTTTTTTGTTGCTACTTCAGTTTTTCTTTTTTAATCAAATGGTATAAATTAAACATACATAAAATAGGTTTTCTCACCTACAAGCAAAAAAACAATAACAACATAACAGAAAAAAAATGTTAGAAGAAAAGTTGATAATTATGTGTCTAAAAGAAATACATGATGCAGCAAAAACTCCTTTAAAGCTGTAGTAGTTCAGATGTGCTCAACCTTTTAAACTAGGACTCCTGTCTAACCAATCATCTAAGTGTCAAAATGGTCCCCTTTCTGAACATTCAACCAGTATAAATAGTTGTTATTGTTGTTGTTATTTGCTGTCGAGTCAGACCCGATTCATAGCGACCCTCCTTGAGTTTCCGAGGCAATATCACTACGGAAGTAGATTGCTGGTGGGTTTGAACCACCATCCTTCTGGTTGGCAGTCAAATGCCTTAGGCACTGTGCTACCAGAGCTCCCAGTATAAATAGATACAGGTATCAATCTAGAGTGATTGTCTAGTTAAGTTAGTGGTGGTGTTGTTGTTGTTGTTTGCTGTCGAATCGGCCCCGACTCATAGCGACCCCTCCTTGGGTTTCCGAGGCAGTATCACTACGGAAGTAGGATTGCCCAACCTTCCTTCCGAGGAGTGGCTGGTGGGTTTGAACCACCAGCCTTCTGGTGAGCAGTCAAGTGCCTTAGGCACTATGCTACCAGAGCTCCTAAGTTAGTGTTAGAATGAAAAATTAATCTTTAGAATATTTCTGCTTTAGGCAGAAATCACCGGCAGGATTTACAGAGTAAAGGGAGACGTGTTGGTAAGACCTGCTACTGTTACTCTAATCGGGCAAGGAGTTAGAGTTCACCTGTTCAGTGTTCACTTGGCTGGAATGAGAGGACAGAGAAAGACAACAGAGCAGGCTTGTGGCTCCAGAGCTCACCAGACTCTGGGAATCCAGTCTTCTTTGATCACCGCAGTGGCTCCGTTTTGGCAGCAGAGCCGCTGGTGATGGGCCTCCAAGCTCCAAAGGTCTTGTTAGGGACCACATGGAATTTATCTACTAAATCACAGTCTGTCATGCTTGGGTGTGTTGCTTCCTCTGGTAGAATTCTTAGCTTTTTGTTTGGTTACTCTTAAGTTGCTCCCCCCATGTCCCACTGCGGACAGTGGTGTTTCTCTGGCCGAGCTCTTGCCTTCTACGCGGACGACCTGGCCTGCACAGGTGCGGCTACCCCCACCTATCAGTGGAGGCCTGCATGGTGCTGTGTTGCTGAACAGGTTTTAATGGAGCTTCTGGACTCAGATGGGCCAGGAAGGAAGACCTAGTATCCACTTCTCAAACTTAGCCAGTGAAAAGGGTCACGGTGGTCTGGTACCATCGCCCACAAGGTTGCCACGAGTTGAGGAGCAACTCGGTGGAAGCTCATACCAACAGCACATACCATTGCTTGATCCATGCAAAGACTTTTCCAACTGGCCAAAATCCTTGTGTCCTGCATTGTTAGAAAATCTTTATCTTCACTTACAAAGTGAATAGTATGAGGTGGAAGAATGAATTTAATAATTCATTTAAAACTGGTGGCCCAGATGTTGCAGAAGGTTTCTGGCCAGGCTACGCAGAGATGGATGAACTGAATTAGAGAAAAAGCCATTCAGTTTCCTTCCACATTCACACAGAGCTTCAGATGGCAAGGCCCCCGAGAGCAGTGGCTGGCTGTATTTTATCCAGACGATCTTACTTGTTTTGGTGTAACAGGTGAGATCAAGGTTTTCTTCGGGGACGCAAGCCCTGAACAAACCCTGGAATAAAACCAGCCCCAAATTAAAAAAGATAAATCACATTCACAGAGCAGCCAAGGTCCAGAGTCGCCCCATGATTGTGACTGGAAGTGCTGTGCGGGCTAATGTAATGAGGCTGTTCATTTTGCCATTGCAGTGGCCTGCTCACTGTGGCTAACACCTCATCAGCTTCTCACACGAAATTTTTCAGCATCTTTCTCTTTAAACCAGAGGCCTTCAAGTAGACAATAGAAATAACTTACAGCATCTTAACTTACTATTTTTCTATGATGAGAGACAAAACATACAATAGCAGCAGATATTCCAATTAAAGTCACTCTTTATTAATATGACTGGTAATAACTAACATCATCCTAGCCATTAATTAAGCCTTCTGATTGCAGGTGCAGAATTTGGTTATCATATTTATATCAGGCTTATCAGCAAGGAATGTCTTACTTTTCTCAAGTAAGGCTGACCTATCTAAAACTCTGCTTCCTTGGTTCTGTTGGCCCTGGTGGTCACGAATCCATTGTAGCCGACAAGGATCCTCAGAACTTTGAGTCGGTTGGCCTGTATTACAGGTTGATACGCCCACTTTAAGCGAGAAGGAAAGATCCTAATTTTACAATACTGGAGTTGATCCACACTGCTGTTTTCACAGTACCTATTTTTGCCTAGAAAACTACTTTAGTTAACACCTCGACTCATCTCATTAGAAAAGTCTTTAAGTGTTGGGAAGCTGTCAGGCTCATGGCGACAGACAACATACTTTTCCAGATTCTCATTTTCACTTGAAAGCTCTACTTTTGTCGTGGGCAACTTGTACTGTCATGTAGGTTTTTTTTTTTTTTTTTTTGAAGTGACATGCTTACTTCACTCATTATAGAGAGAATGGCTGCCAGATATCCAAGTCGGAAGGACCACAGTTTGTCAGTCATTTTTTCAAGTAAAATCAGTCTTCCATGAGGCAAGAAGCAGCTAGCTGAGCTCACAGCACAAATGTTTGCACGAGCAGCTCTTCCTGGCAAATGTCAGACCTCAGTGTGCCGCACAAACGCTTTCTGCGCGCTTCCCACCTCATCACATAAGGCGTTAAAAAGACATGTATTCAGGGGTCCAAACTTGCTGAAATGAATTCCTGCTTCATCAAGGACATTCTTAGTGACTTTTTTCCTCCCGTGATTACCTGGCAGCAAAGAGCTCAATGACTACAGTGTGGTGTCATTGACTTAATTTGTGCTAATGCACCAGGGAAATTGATCTGACCTTGTTTGCACCATCAGTACAAATGTCAACAGAGTGAAAAGACTATCTTAAAATTGTAATGGAAATAGTTTTGACTTTGTGGACGCTCTCGGAGAGTCCTTGGGACTCCCAGGGATTTATAGATCATACTTTGATGACTACTGGCCTCATGGAAAGCCAGGATTGAGAACTACTGATATTGATCATGATTGTAGCAATTAAAATATGTGCAACCACATATTTCAAATAACCAGTATTTCACATATAAAAATTATCTATCTATCTATCTGGATTCCTCATATATAAATATAAGTCTGTACATACATGTCCTATTCCTACTTTCCAACAGTTTGGCAAATATTATGGAAAACTGACATTATTAAAATTTGTATATGCTGAAATGCAAAAACACATATTTCAAAATAATTAAAACTTGTCTGTGTGTTTATATAAAGTGATCACATGGTTTTGGTGACATGTAGGCATGCGTTTAATATAAACATACTCACTAAATCTAACTCTAATACGCATTCAGAATCAGTGGCGTTGGACCCACAAGATTGACAGACCTCAGAAATAAACTCGGTATTACGACAGCACTTGACTCAGAAGTAACCTGAAGTTTTGATGTTTTCGAAACACAGTACGGTAAATGGTTGATTCAGGTAGAAGATAGCTGTTTATGACTCATGAAAGAAGGGAGTTGCCCAGCCACTGTGCAGACAGACGTTCTGACTGTGTTTTTCTCTCTTCTCTCACCAGGTTTGATAGCTGTTGTGATCTTTATCTTGCTTTGCATCACTGCCATCGCTGTCCGCATTCATCAGCAGAAAAGGTTATACAAAAGAAATGAGGCAAAAAGGGCCGAGAATGTGCACAGTGCTGAGGCCGCTTTGAAAAGTGAGCTTAACATACAAAACACAATCAGTGAAAATCAGAAAGAGTACTTCTTCTGATTGACCTGTGGCTTAACTTATAATTATGACAGTTTCCTTTTACAGCCAGGGGCTCTCAGTGGACAAAAAAAAAAAAAAAAAAGCTCTCTCACATTGAATGTTCAGGCAATGGATTTGCAAGACTGCCTTCCTGGCGTCGCCCAGGCTCAAGATGGCTTCCAGGAGGCCTCATTCAGTGACATGTATCCCATACCACTCACTCTACGTAACAAGGACTTAGCTATCGCTGTTAAATTCCAACTCTTCTGATATGAGCTGTGAAGTTTAACCTGCTTCATGACTATGGTTTTTAAGTGTGAAAACTGTCTGCTAACCACGTGATGCATAAGTTTTGTTCGAGGTAAAAGTCAAACTTGGACCATAACAACCTTGCCTTATTTGAGAACATAGTTGGTGTTTGCTTTGGTATTCCCATGGTGTTACTCGTAGACCTGAACATGCGTCTAAGATCCCGTTGGGCTGGCGCTGACATCTTTTGCAGCCAAAATATGCCAAGCCCCTTTGCCTGCCTCTGTATTCCGTTCAATACAATACATCAGTCGTCTGCAAAGATGCTTTGTTGCTGTTGGTTTGTTTGCACTGCTCTTCTTCTTCTTCCTTTTTTAAATTTAAATCTTCTTAGTTGTTTTGGATCCGTTTGGTTTTGAGCATCAAGTTTCAACTATGACCATACAATTCGCATGTGACAAGACTGGCAGAGTACCATGGCTCTCAGTGTGGGGTGTCTTGCCTTTTCAAATGTCTCTGTTTAATTTGCTCCTTTTGCTCCTGACAGTAGTTAGGATCCTGTCTGTGGCCAGTCTCCCAAAGAATGTGTAATGTTTGCAACTAAATTTCAACTAAGTTTGCTTAACCAAGTTTGCTTAACACTGGAGAAAATTATTTTTTATTTACATCTCAGGTACCTCATATGAATTAATATTCTGGGAAGAGTTTTCCCCAGATCTTGGATGATTGTCAGTTTTCTTTATAGTTTGTAATTCTCTTTTCTGAAGGTTGATCATCACCTCCTCTTTGATCTTCTGTGACCATGCTCCACAGAACATCTTTCATTAATTAGAAAACAGAGACAATTGGCTGTAGTACTCTGTGTCCCGTTCTAAAATGTATGCTCCTTAGGCTCCAGTTTCCGAATCAGCCTCCGGTAGGTAGTTTTGGAATATAAACTGCACCTATGCCAGCTTTCTGTTCAGACAGCACACAGGTTAAAGGATGCTTACTCTGTGGGAAGATGGAGACTGAATCTGTCCTTCTGGTCACCTCTAACAAGGTCCATTTCTCCAAAATTACCAAGAGTCACTGGTGCATTCCTATTAGAGTATACGTACACATTAGGTGATCAAGTAAGTATCAGTAACTTTATGGGGACTGGTGCAGTACCTCATACTAAGGCAGTGTGAACAAGATGCTTGAGGCGCTGTAAACGAGATGTAACTAACAGTGGACCAACCCTCTGAATTCCATAAACCAATTATGTAATAAAGGAGCTCTGGTAGCATAGTGACTAAGGCACCTGACTGCTAACCAGAAGGCTGGCCGTTTAAACCCACCAGCCACCTGAGTATGTCCATATCAGAACAATTTGGAAACAGGTAAATGGAGCACTCCTACCCGCTTCTGTTTTCCATGTGTTCTGTGTTAACCCACCTTACAAACCCTGCCTGGCCTTTCTCATAGTCCTACATCCATATGATGTTTCTGTGAATGGCTGACTAAATTATAAGGATCTGAATTCACGTCGTCATTGATGGACAAGTGATCTCGATAACCGATCTGCGTATTTTGTTCGCTCAAGTTTGTTTCAATCTCAAGTCCTGTGGTGGTTGGAAAAGGATTTCCCAGAGAAATGGTAGTTTTGCTTTGATGCAAAACTGAGTGCAGACACCACAGCGACGAGTCTTCTACTCATGTCCCTTTTGTTCAGGAGCGGCATTGGCTGATGGGTAGCTGGAATGGAGTCGGGGTTATAGATGGACGAGCCCCCAGTTCTCAGTGGTCTACACCTTAGAGAGCACCTCTTGACATGAAAAGACACCATGGTACATCCTGAGCCATGGCTTTCATTTCCTGGTTTGTAATCTCCTACTCTTCTTCCTTAATAAAAAGCATTTTGAAATAAAATGCAGAATATATTTTAAGACAAACTGTACAAAAATTTAAAATTAGGGAATTGTGCTTATTTTTCTTTTTTTTTCTTAAAACAGTAAAACAATATGCAGATGTGTGTCTATGTCCTCTTTTCTGTTGTGTGTGTCTGTTTTAACCTTTTAGCACGCCCTATTGTTATGAACTGTTGACTACAGCTGCAGTTACCAAGTATTTTTCCTTTTCACTGATTTGAAAAAACTGAAGAAAATGGTTAGCGGTTGGGTCAGTTAAAGGAAGGTCCTACTCAGTTTAAGCTTTGCCAGAGAATGATTGCTTGATTGTCAGTAACTGTTTGCTGAAATGATAGTATTTGTTTAAATTGAGTGAAATCCTGTTTTTTTGTTCTTTTTAATGGACTCTAGAGAACGTGGCCAATGAATGCTATAAAAATGTCCAGATGCCACATCGGAATGTAGTGCACCTTCTCTGTGATACAAAAGTTAAAAAAAAAAAAAAAAGAAAAGAAATCTTTCAAGGGAAAACAATGTATAACTAACACTGTAATAGTTCCATTTTTTAAAATCCTCTTCCAACTAGATGGATAGCTGCCCTTGAGTGGACTTTGACGCGTGGCAGCTTTAGGTACAACCCAACCAAACAACTCCCAGTCTCACGTTGTCCTCACTGTCGAGCGTGTTCAAGTTCATCGTTGCAGCCATTGTGGCAATGCGTCTCACCAAGGGTCTCCCCCGCCCCCACTGGCCCTCTCCGTCACCAAACATAGTGCCCTTCTCCAGCAGTTGATCCCTCCTGATGGCATGTCCAAAGCAAGCAGAGTAGACAGTGTTGTTTTGTTTTCCAAGAGGGGTTCAGTGGCTAATTTCTGGAAGTACGCCTTTTTTCCTAGTCTGTCTAGAAGCTGCACTGAACCCTGCCCTCCATGGATGACCCTGCTGGTATTTGAAATACCACTGGCCTAGCTTCCAGCTTCATCATCCTCTGCAAACCCCTACAGTATAACAAACGAAGACACAGGTGGTAGCTTTTCCACTGGTTGTCCTTTAAAACACTTTGAAGAAATGTTTGTAAAGGTAAGTTAAACAACAGACAAACCCACAACAACAACAAAAAGCCAACCAACCAAGCCAAAGCTGACCATTCGCCGTGGCCTCTCTCTGGGTGGCATTGCCCTTGTGATGGAGCAGAGCCTCCAGTCAGGGTACATCGTAGCATTGGAAGACAGAGTACTGAAGGTCCCTGTGTGACACACGCTGTTGCGCTTGTCTACTAACCAAAAGGTTGTTGGTTCAAACCTGCCCAGTGGCAAAAAGCCCTGGTGAGCTGCTGTTAAGATTATAGCAAACAAACTTAAGGGCCCTAATATTTGATATAAATAGACTACCAAGCATAATTCAAAATGCACCAACAGCAGAAGAGAAGCCAGATGATTGGGACCTTCTAAAAATTAAATGTTTATGTGCTTC